AGAAGAGAGAAGGGTGAGGAGATGAGAGGAGGAGGAGGAGAAGAAGAGAGGAGGGGGAGGAGAGATCCAGCTGTGGGAGGGCAGATGGCAGCAACACAGCGCATGCGGATTCGTATCATGAACTGCGTGTTGTATGCTCGCTGGAGACTTCTTTTTCCTTTTTTCTCTTGTTTTCATGAATCAATGACGGTAAAAGGACATAACATCACACACATATACACCAATATAACTGATAAATCACGTGACGCCCTTCACGAAGCGCCACGTGTCATCGTTCAGAATGCATAGTGCAATGGCGCAAGACGAGACGCACTTTCAAGAGACCAACACTGCGTGTCATCGTCTGGACTGAACAGACGAAAGGCACAAGAGTTAACACTTTGGATGTGTTTTATTTCTTTTTTGTTAGGGGAAATTGTTGAACTGCCCCTTGAAGTTGGGGTGTTTGGCCAGATACCCCTAAAAGCCAAGAGTATGGTGAAATGCCCATATGACAGTCATGAAACTTTGCGAAATGCCCCATTGGGCATTTGGACCCGCCATTTTTCGCATATACCCCTACCTAGCCCTATGCAACTTGTCCATATGCCCCTGCATTCCTGACCGTTGGACCCTTGCCCCTACCGGTACCTGCCATTTTTCCTGTTTGCCCCTGTCGCCGTTGAACGCCTGAGGCTGTTACCGAACCTGGCTCAGTTTTGCAAAGGCTGTTCCCTAACCTGGCTCAGTTTTGCAAATGGCCCTGCACGTACCGGGCATCTTTTATGTTTGCCCCTCCACATGTACCAGTCCCACTGAGCCCATTCCGTGGGCCCGGGCGGCCCGTGGTGGAACAATACACAAACGGCCATCTATGCCTGCTGCGCCTGCGGCCAGATGGACTTGGATGATGCATTTCTCTGGGTGGGACTACCGCAATTCCTCCCTGCCCCCCTCCCCCTCCCCCTCCCTCTCTCTCTCTCTCTCTCTCTCTCTCTCTCTCTCTCTCTCTCTCTCTCTCTCTCTCTCTCTCTTTTCTTTTTTCCCTTCTTTCTTTTCATCTCCATCACCTTCCCTCCTCCTCCTATACTCCCACCTTCCTGCTCCTGTCTCCATCGTCTTCCCTCATCCTCCTCTATTTCCACCTTCCCGCCTCCATTGCTGCATATTTCCCGTTCCTCCAAATGAAAAACGGCGGGAACGTGTAGTGACGTCCTCTATTTCCACCTTCCCGCCTCCATTGCTGCATATTTCCCGTTCCTCCAAATGAAAAATGGCGGGAAAGTGTGGTGACGGAGGCGGGAAGGTGGGAGTAGAGGAGATGTAAGAGCTGGAAAACGACGGAAAAGTGTTGTGATGGAGGGGGGAAGGTGGGAGTAGAGGACACATAAGAGCTGAAAAACGACGGGTTGTGGGAAGGTGGGAGTAGAGAGATGCAAGAGCTGGAAAAGGGGGCCTGTTTGGGCAAAAAAATGAAAGAGTACTTGCTGCTGGGTAGCTGCTTGATTGCCCCTCGTCCAAAGATTGGGCCTGGCTCCACTTCCAGACGTATCTGGACTGTTTTATGGATCAGATGCGTTCTGACTGATCCAACATGTCAAATGCATTGGCACAGCCTCCAGCTCCAGATTCATTTCGAATGTATTGCGGTGAAGTAAATCGCAAATACATTCTAAATGAATCTGGAGCAGGAAGCTGCCCCAATGCGTTGGAAATGTTGGATCAGTCAGAACCATACCCCAACACATCTAAATGAATCCTGAGCTGGAAGTTGTCCCAATGCATTCCAAATGTTGGATCAGTCAGAATGCATCGGATCCATAAAACAGTTCAGATACGTGTGGAAGTGGAGAATGCCTCCATCGTCGTCCTTTTTTCTCTCCTCCTCCGTCATTTTCCATCTCCTCTGTCGTTCCCATCTCCTCTACTCCCACCTTCCCCCCTTCATCGTGACACTTTTCCGTGGGGTCAGAATGGAAAATGCCCCGAAATGTGTAGCCATGGAGGCGGGAAGGTGGAAGTAGAGGAGGAGGGAAGGCGATGGAGACGGTAGCGGGAAGGTGGGAGTAGAGGAGGAGGAGGGAACGTGACGGAGATGAAGAGGGAGCAGGGAAGGTGCGATGGGAGGAGTCCGAGGACGTAGAGGAAGTGGAGGAAGTGCAGGGGGAAACGTGTCAGGAGGAGGGCGGGGGGTTGTCAGGCAGTGGGGGTGGGGGGCGTGGTCAGGAGGAGGAGGGGGGGGTGCCACGTCTTATCTGGGCTATTATGGCAAGCTGAACTGCCGGGGAGGGAAAGGCTGACGGCAGTTGGTGGGGAGCTTCACCTGCTGGAAATCGGGTCCAGCGTCCCATTGAAAATACAAAAGAATACATAGATATCCGAAAAAACGTGAGATTGGAAAAAAGGACCATTTGGCCACGGCCATTGGAAAAAACCTCTTCCACTTTTTTGACTCAGGGAAAAGACACTGCCTCTTCACCCTTTTCTCAGGGTGCCAGATATACCTATTAGCACAAGCTGTGAGATCTGCTGAGAATTCCTTCTATATTCCATACCAGGATATAGGAGTTTTTAGTTGGTTCTTACGTCTCTTTCGAGATGAATAAATAGAAGACTCAATAAGTAAATAAAATACAATCGATTATCTACCCAAAATGAAATAAAGTCCCAAAGACCTATGATGGTAATAAATATGGTTAACCCGATTAACATAACAAAAGCATAATGGTACACAAAGCCACTTTGAAGTGTACTTATTTGCTTCGCTAATTTTTGAAATGTGGTGGAAATTCCGTAGGGACCCAAAATGGAAATAGCACCTTTGTCTAGGAACAAGGGCTGATGCTGGGGTGGGGAAGGGATCTGGGAATTCTGATAGAGGGCGCATAGGCACTGCAGCATCAATAGTAGTCCAGTCACCAAATTCCAATTTGTAATCCCTTTTAATCTCAACATCATCACCACCCATTGCCCCATTCCATATGACTTTTCCCAATCTCCCTCCCTCGTTTCCGCCCAGCCAGTTACAACTGAATTTTCGAAAATGTGATTGGATTTCTGATTTTTTGGATTAAAAATTAACTTTTTCCTTTGTTTGAGCCCATTTTGTTAGGATGTCTGTTTCAATTTGTTGTTTAATAGTCTCTGCGAAGTCTGGCCCATCTAGCCTGGCTCCTTCCCATTCGTAAGTACATCTTCTCATCCAGATGGCCCACATTACAGCTCTTCGCCCTATACCGAAAAAATTGACTATAAATTCCTCCTGATTTTCCATTGATTCTAGCTTGGGGATCCATGTCTCTAGAAGAACAACTTTCCGCCCCCATGGCCATGGAATACGTGAGACTAGTTGTGACCAGATGCGGTCCCACCACCTCCATAGCCAGATGGAGCCCGGACACTGCATAAAGATGTGTTCTATAGTTTCAAGAATTGTTCTGCTCGAAAAGGCTGATCTGCAAAATTTACACCATCTTGATGCTATTCCTTTCTGTTCTAGAGAGGATTTGTCAATTAGTCAGTCATTTGTTGGGAGACACCTGTGCTCAATTTGCCATTGAAAGGAAGCAATTTTGGATGGTTTATTTTTGACTGTTTTAAACCACTTGACCGACCTCAGATCTTCTTTACTTATGTTGAGGTGTTTCATCCATCTGGCTGATACTTTGTCTTCTAAATTGATTTTCGGACGCATCATTCGATAAGGTGATTTGACTTTCAACAGATGAATAGATCTCTTGTATGATCTATAATGTCTACCTACTCTTATTTCTGAACTCCATACCCAATTGGCCGGGTCTAGATGTAGTTTAGAAATAGGGCAGTCTGGTTTGAAGGCTAGCCAAGAATCTTTACTCTTGATTACTCTTATTCTGAAAATCTGGTGGGCTTGGACCCATCGAGTTTCCCCTTGACTCATCGGAACAACGGCATTGTTAGATGACAAGGAAAAAAACTGTAGGAGAAAATCCCCGATTTGCCCACGATCAAGAATTCTGCCAATTGACTGGGTTGAGACTTGAATGCTACCCAGTCATTTATCATTAATTTGGGGCCTCCTCTGAGAATACATATCCATTCAAGAGGGATGAGATCTTTTATCTTTTTTAGTGATTCCGCCGAATGGTGACAATACTGTAGTCACCTCCGTAAATTAGATGGGTCTATCCAATCATTGGTGTTCATATCCCATATATCATTAATCCTCATGATTTCATTATTGATCCATCATTTCCAAGGAGAGTGCATACAGTGAAGAACATATCCTTGGGAGTTGCAAATCCACCTGTTATCGAATAAAGGTTGTTGACAGACTTCCTTCCACCTTCTTGGCAAGAGTTTGTCTGTTAGGGGGAGTTTCCTCCAGGTTTTCAACATGGTCACCCAAAATTGATCATTTTTCAAATCTTGCCTGACAGCCTGACAGCCTGCCTATTGGAAACTGTGGATGTTATTACAGGCTTAGAAATCCCCCTTGG